TACTATGTCTATATTTGCGAATATAGGAATGCATGTATGCGAGAGACAGAAAAAGGTTAACTTTCCTTTTTTGGAAGGAAATTCTGCTTCATAATTTATATTTGTTTATTTACCGTATTACCACATGCTTTATGTAACAAATAGGCTAATTAACTTGGATAAAAGACTTGGTGCCATTTTCTCTATCCAACTAGCTCATTTGTGTGTGTGTGTGTGTGCTTTTCATCTTCACAACAGAATGAAATTGAAATACTGAAGGCTGAAAATGACCGGTTAAAGGCAGAAACTGGTAACACAGCTAAGCCTGCTCGGCCACCGTCGGAATCCTCAAGCACCACCTCCTCCTCATCCTCACGGCAGTCGTTAGGACTTTCTCTAAACAATCTGAACATCACAGAGGCTGTTACCTCAGGTGATTGATTGCACATGCCTGCCCGCATCACAGCACGTCCGCGACCGAACAGGGGCGGGGAGAGGCTTGGAATCTGGAGAACCCTACACCCTCTTAAAAATGTTAACACTCTCATTCTCAGAAATAGTCCCCTTTTTATCTTATAAATTAATTCAACTTAGTTGTAGTTTTGAAAGCACATTCTCCGTGAAAAGGTTAATCTTAGAGATACGATTTTCCTGATATTTAAACAAAATTACTTGTGCTTGGCAAGTACTTTCTGCACGACTATGAAGATGAAGAAATAATATTCTCAGTGATGATTAGTACTCATGGATGTAATAATAACCTCATGCAATTTTATAGGGGTTTAAGTACACAAAACCCATTTACAGTTATATCAGGACCTATTTCTAAATTTGATTAGATGATCCTACATGATGCTGCCTAGAGAGAACGTAATGATACTACATCCCCAAGCCTGCAGCTCTATTAAATTTTTGACAAACAAAGAGAGCACACCAGATTCTGTTATTGTATTCAATAGTACTAATAATTCAACAAGGGTATAGTTTTGATTTGATTGAAAATATATTATATGATATAATGTCATCTTAATATCTGATGAACCATTCAATTATAAAGCATAACTGCTCCTGTGGCATCGAAAAATTTTATGGAGATAGAATTTAGGGAATATTTGCATGAAGGATCTGTGGTAATTGCAAAGTACAGCCACCAGATGGCGCTTGGAAACCAATAATGCACATTTTCCTGGGTAACATTGGATTCCATTGTAGAATGGTGACACTTCACTGCCTACCTTAAATTACATTAAAATATAGAGTATACAGCATGGTGATGTTGATTATATTTCTAATCAATCACATCTCATTTCTAAAAAGTCAGAATTTTTAAAAGTCTGCTATTATGGCTGCCCTTCGTAATATAAAATAAATGGTCCAATTATATACTGGTCTTCTTTATCTTATATATTAAAGGCAAGTGGGAACGCCCTGTAATTCAAGAAAACAACATTTGCAAACATTTGGTGAGGGCTGGAGGAAAGAAAGAAATTCTAAAATAAGCATCAAGTAAAACTAATATTGGTAGGCAAGAAAAAACATAGATTTCAGAATTCAATGAATTTATAGATCGTTGGATAAAATAAGACTATGGAAATACATAGTTGCTTGAATGTGTGGATTGTACGCAAAATACTATTGTCCACACTCTTCAAAGGATTCTTAAAAAGAACACAAATTTAAATACATAGAATCTGAGAGCTTATGTCCTGAGCAATGTTCTTTACGTTGGCTCGTTGTTGATGAGCCTGACAGACAAGTGAACTAAAGTCCACATCTAATGGAAAAATACTGACCAGTGCTTTTTATTTTTCCAGGCTCAACTCCTAGGGAAAGACTAGGGCCGATACTTTCCAGGACAAATCAATGTGAGGATTTCACTGACTGTTACATAATTTTGTTTTATTTTATGGAAATATGATAAGGTTTAAAGGAGGCAATGTTAGTATTGTAGGTAGCTTAGAAAGAACAGACTTATAAAAATAAAATTAAAATTCACGTTT